TACTTGCAGAATCTACCACATGGGTTTGAAAAACGCTAAATTTAAACCATTTGTAATCATTACTATTTATACAAGAGGCCCAAGGGCCTTAGCGGTCACCTGAGTTATATCATAGGTACTGGTAGCTTTATTTTATTTTTTAGATGTGATGTGGAAATCAGAATGTAAACTAAGTGAAATACAATACTTGTCATGTCATCAAAGGATAATAATTTGAAAATATTGGTAAATGTTCCCTATGGGGCCCCGCCCTAGCCTCTGGGGATCAGGCAGGAATCCTAATTTTACAATGTAATACCCTCATTCACCAAAGATGATTCTGACTAAGTTTGAGTAAATATCAGGTGAAAATGGATAAAAAATACCCAAAAGTGTTATTTCCCTATATAAACTGTAGTAAACTTTACCCCCTCCCCAAGGGAGAACGGATAGCTCGGGGGTCCTGGAATTTACAATTTAAATAAATCCCCTGATAATCTTTCTTTTTATAAACTGAAATTGAATGTAGTACCTCTGAGTCTGGAGAAGAAGATTTTTGAAATATTGGTTAATTTTCCCTTTTGGGCCCCGCCCTGGCCCCAGGGGTTGGGGTAGGAATCTCAATTTTACAATTTGAAACCATCTTCTTTCAAGGATAATTCTCACCAAGTAAAAATAATTTCCTACGGAAAGTTGTCAAAATATACCCAAAAGTATTATAAACTATATAAACTATAGTAAACTTTACCCCCTCCCCAAGGGAGAACGGATAGCTCGGGGGTCCTGAAATTTACAATTTAGATAAAGCCCCTGATGATCTTTCTTTTTATGCACTGAAATTGGATGTAGTACCTCTGAGTCTGGAGAAGAAGATTTTTGAAATATTGGTTAATTTTCCCTTTGGGGCCCCGCCCTGGCCCCTAGGGTTGGGGTAGGAATCCCGATTTTACAATTTTGTAGCCTCATCTACCAATGATGATTCTGACCAAGTTTGAAAAGAATCCATCCACTGGTTCTTGAGAAGAAGTTAAAAATGTAAAAAGTTTACGCACGACGGACGACGACGGACGGAAAGCAATTAGAATAGGTCACTTGAGCAAAGCCCAGGTGACCTAAAAATACATATATTTTACAGTTTTATTTGTCTCTCAGATCAATTTAAACCCCTTTCTTCAAACTTTAACCTTCTAACAAATTCTTCTGCACGACAAAGGGACTAAGGGTCATGTTTTAGCCTGAAGCATGCTAGGATGAAGGACGATGTTGTTTGTTTTAAATAATAATACTAAATTACTAGGTCACAGGGTCAACCATTTCAACCAATTCATGGTATATAACCAAGAGGTTGAGTGTCATGATATTAGGCCTATATGCTAGGATGAAGGGCTGTCAAACACGTTCCAATTAATTACATTGATTCACTAAGAGTTGAATGCATTATTTTTTTAAACGACCTCTTTGGACAACTCATAAAGTCTACAGTAAAGATATGGCTTGCTGGTCAGAACGGCTATCATGCTTGTCACAATAAATGATTTTGTGATAAAATCAATTGGTCAAATAGAGCTAACTGGGATAACATTGTGTCAAGTCTGTTCAATTATACGACCATGACCTAAAATATAAGTTGAAGGTCGCTAGAGTAACTAAGTTTATTTTTTTCAACAAAGAAGTAGCGAAATAATCTGGATCTGTAAGTTTAGCTTGCTTGTTACAAAGGTTGTTTGACCTTGACCAACTTTGAAGGTCACAGATATGAGATATGTGCCAATAGCATTGAATAACAATGAGCAATATTGGCAAAATCTTATGCCATCACGAGGTCAATCTTTTCTATTTCTTAGAAACAACATAATAATGACAAAAAAACTAATTATTCAAAATGATATTTTTTTTATTGTTTTATACCAAAAGCATGTTAAATACTAATGTATACTGGATTTCACTACAGAAGACAAAAACATAACTCATGTAAAAAGAAATCACATGTATTGGCTTAAAAGCTATTCAATACATATAGTACATACTGCAATGATTTTGTCCCACATTGGTCACAGAATCTATTCCTGATATTTTCTGTGATATCTTCCATCTTTCTGAAAGGTTCCTACACTAAGAAACTTGTGAACTTCCCAAATGACATGGTACTGGTAATTCACACTTGATGAATCAGTTATTAGCACAAAAGGAGCACAAGAATTCCGAATTCGGGGGGGGGGGGNGGGGGGGGGGGGGGGGGGGGGGGGGGGGGGGGTTTAAAAAGGATGCCACAGCCTCACAAATCTCATGTATAATGTGTAAGGTAGCAAAAATCCTACAAGAATTAACAAGTTGTACCTAAATGATATCCTGATCAAATAGGATTACAAGTTAATGGTACGTAGGAATCAGTTTCAATGTGAACCAACTACATGTACTTTCAATAATAAATCTTATGATTTTTCTCTTTTATTCTCTTAAAAATGTGTGACCACATTGATTAGATTTCTGCTTTGTGTTTACAACCCAGGCACCAGAAACTTAACAATGCAAATTCACGTATAATTGAGAATGCATACTTGTATATCATTTCTTATTTTTCGGGTATTATTTCTTCAAAACAAATGCAAAAATTACTAACAAAAACAAGCATGATTCATATTGTTTGCAATCAAAGGAAAAAAACCAACAACAGGAGTCAAACTAAACACTGACTTATATAAGTTTTATCATAAAAAACACTTGTTTAAAATTCCCTCTATGAAGCCTACTGGACAATACCAATCTCTTAGCTCCAGCTGGAAGAACACTATTTGTTGTTATTACAACATGGGATCATCTTGGCCAAGAGTGCTCCATAGTCCATACCCAAATAAGGTCAAGAGTACCACTGTACAAGTTATAATTACGAAGAAGATTTTCACTTCAGAGAGCTCTGTAGTTCTGACCTGGAGTATTTTTCCCAAATTCAGTCAAAATATCTTTAGCCATTCTAGACTAGTAGCTTTATATAAAGGAGAATTTGACAATGATGACCACTGTGCCATGACATTTAACTAGCTGAGCTAAAAACTCTTATGAGATAAGGCCAGCCCTGCATCAAAACCAGCAAAATAATATGGCAGCTAGATTGCAAACAATAACACAAGCTGCTCTACCAATTCAACTATGCAGGCTATTACAGACAATATAACTCTAAATACCTCAGCATTAAATCCAATATTTATCTGGTTGCAAATAAATACATCAATAGATAAAGGAATGATATAAACTCCAATGCACTGATGTTAATTTTACCATATACACATACTTAAGTTATTCACTTAACTTTAACCATGTTGATTTTATTACCAGTTACTTTTATTCAGTGGACAGTATGTCCCATACGCATACTCCCCTGTGACATGGTTCAAAGACCAACTATCGTCTCCCTATAAATGAAAAAAGTATGCACTCTAAACACGCAGTGCAGAACAGCAAGCATTAGAAAATCCGACATTTTATTTCATTGTTCTAATATGAAAAAGCATTTATAAAAGAAAAGGGGAATGTTTAACCTGCTTTCAACAACATTCGTCCATTGGTAAATTGTTCATCCTACAAACTGTTCGGTACAAGAACTTGAGTAAGACATTATATTATGTATACACTGTGTTAACTCTCATTCCTGTGCGTATATGACAGAACTGTCCCGGGTAAGAAGTAAGAAATTTCTATCTTACACCCCATTTCACCAGTATGACGTGACAACAACGATGTGACATCACAAAATCAGGAACAATCAGAGGCGGCGAGGCGGAAATTGCAACACCTGTTTGATTTTCAAATTGGTGCCACACCCTCAACAAGCCTTGGGTTTCCTTGATTTGAAACCCCCTTGGGATTTACCTATCCAACTTCCCTGGGTATGTAAGAGTCTTGTGTTCTTTTCATTTTTCTAGTTGCAAGACAAGCATTTAGGACAGTGATTTAGTAAGTTTAAGAAATATGAGTATTTTCAGATAAAATAACCTGAAGTTGCTAAATATGTTCCAATCCTCTACACCTTTTAAAATCTTCAATCAAGAAGTCACTTCGTAGGCATTTGATAAACAAGGGCACAGATGGATACATACAGGTTTGCACAAAAACCAACAAAGTGAGGTATTTAATGGCAGTAAACCAAACCAAGTTAAGTAAAAAATTGCATGGAAACTGGGAGACTGACATTGTCTGGTAAACAATTCCAAACACTCCAACTATAAAGCTACACTAAGGGAAATAACTCTATAAAAATCATCAGATCAATGCACACCCACAACTGTCTAAAATGGTGATAAACCCTATCAAAGCAATGGTATGGAATCTGAGGGACCAGTGGATTGGATATTTTTCTAATGCTTTAAATACACAAAGGGCAATTACATTGAGAGTGATCACACAAGATCAGTATGTCCAGCACGTGTACACCTACTACAACTGGTGGCCGTAAACTCTGGTAAACAGTTGTCAAGGAGATAGAAACTGGAGGAATAAACAGTAATCAAGATTAAGCTGAGCAGAAGTTGTATCTGCTCAAAGTACAAAAGTATGCTAACTCTGCAAACACCGGGTAGACCAATATATCTGTCCAATACGAAAATCTGAAAATCTGAAAAGCTTCAAAGCAGTGGCATAATCCTGAAGCAGTAATTAGCAGGTATGTGACAGTGGACAAAGTGTTAATGGACAGACCATAATACGTCCTGTGGAGACAGGGACATCAATCAATCACACAACCTAGGCATCTATCAATCACACAGTGATATGCTACTAAATTACGTACAGATTTTGCCTGCAGCTAACCAGCTAGTTAAACGAGTTGGCTGTTAGTCTGGTGACAGTTAGAGGGTTTATTGTGTCCATATAAAAAACAGGGGGGAAAATGTTATCGACAAAGTATTATTCCGTCTTTGTGTATTGCAGAGTTATCTTCTCTTGTTAGCAGGTATTGATTGTTACGTCATTGGTTTGTGTGAGAAAATTACATAGTTTTCTCAAAAACTGATGACGTTACTCACACAAACCAATGACGCAACAATCAATACCTGCTCACAAGAGAAGATAACTCTGCAATATGCAAAGACGGAATATCCTGATACACCTTAAAATATTCAAGTAAGAAAAATAGAAAGTTTAGTAAATGCAAAAACTCTGACAACGACAACTTATTACTGGGTAAATCCTCGATAAAAACATGTTAGGTTATTCATGAAGTATGTCCAGCAACCCAATGTTGTTATGACTTCATAAATGTTGAAAAAATTAACCCTATTCCTTAACCAGTTAAACAGTTCGAAAATATGCAGCCTGTAACTACATAGCTGATAAGCAGTTCAGACTTTGATGATTGGTTAATGACACATTGGAAAAGTACAGACCACTATGATAATCAATAACTCAGTCACAAAGATCACATATATACATGTAGGAATTGATTGGAGATGAAGTAAACAATATTTAAGATAATATATAGACATTTGTATATCCTTACTGGTAACTAAAGGATAATTTAGAAGTGATTTGCTGTTAGTTCTAGTGAGCATTCAATATTTCAAAAACAAACAGCATATACTATAAATGTATGTATAAGTGACATTATTAACACAGAATACTTCATCACCAAAACTACAACTATTAGCTATAGTCATAAAGTAAAATCAAGTTATACTGATAAGCTTCCTGAAGCTCAAACTCAAAACAAAATCTAAATAAAATGATTCCAATATTTAAGCAAATATATTGGAATACATTGGGATAGTTGATACAACCTGTAAACATTTTAGTTTACATATTTCCTATTTGAAATACATAGAAACGTGCAGGTGTACATTATGCAGTTAATATAAATTACCTTTCTTCAGGAACAGACATATAAACTGCTACTGTAATTTTTAAAATCATCTTGCTGTATTTAAAAAAAAGATAAGATATTGCCTCTAGCTGGGGATCTGCTGTGATTTTCTAAATTTAGCAAAACTACAATTATGTAACTGAAATTTGGTAAAAAAGTGAAACACTGTAAACTAACCAGCTTTTACCTAAATACTAGATATTTTTATTGACTTATTTTCAAACACAGTGGAATTACTACAGTACAAAGTATTCTGTGTAATACTGTAAACTAGCCAGCTTTTACCTAAATACTAGATATTTTTATTGACTTATTTTCAAACACAGTGGAATTATTACAGTACAAAGTATTCTGTGTAATACTGTATAATATTGACGTCGTGATAAGTCTTGGAGTTGCTAACACATTTACTATAACGAGAGTTATATCCTTTTTTCACAAAAATACCTCTGACACATAGATATAATTCTGGTACCTTCTGATTACAAAGCAAGGATCTTTTCCACTGTGCTACCAGTGATGTTTTTATATGTTAAATTCTGCAAAACTAGTGAGAAAATATTTTAAATGATTTCACCCCCTAAAAAGCTCAGCAACCGATATACTTGTCTATGTATGAACGTAGTGGAAATAGCAAACATTTACCAGGGAAATGTCTTTTCAATGTCTGTATCAGTTACACTATTTGTTGAACTCTGCCTAATTATTAGGGGAAAAAATTCCAACGAAGCAGGGACAACACGGCATCTACTTTTTGATGATTTTTTCAGGTCTTGACATGTTTCGACTTATAGGTTTGAGCTGAAACATATCAACACAATTTCTTATCATCTATAAGCTGGATTCTGCTGTGTTGTCCCCGCTCTGTTTGAATTCGTTGATGAGCTATTAGCAGGGACTTCGTATACTTCATATGAATTGCACCGGATTTTCAAATTAAGGGACATTGTGTCTCCCTTGAGTAATAGGGAGAAAGGTAAACTACAGTTGAACATTTCCTGTATACAGTATTAAGTGGATAAAGAATTAAGATTATTTGAATGTTACAGCTAATTAATATGTGAAAACTGCCAAAATCACTAAGAACCATTCTGTACTTTGTTTACATTATACCTTCAGTGTCTATTCAAAATCTACATATCTACATTTGAAAACATATAATATCCTGTATGAATTATATTTCATATAACAAATAAAATTTCATGATAAGTGAATGCTTCATACTCAAGAAAGAACTTCTTGTTCCTTTAATTTGTAAAAAATTTGTAACAGAACAGACATTAAACCGTAACCATGCACACAGATTCACGGTGTAAACTACAAATGGACAAAAACGGCCAACAAGGGACAGTACCATCTAGCTAGAAATGAAATCTTCATATAATCTTTCATTCTAATTGTACTTTATGTCAGAGATATCTATTGGACTTTACATTACATAAGATTGTGGTAGATTATCAAAACCCAATATCACAAACACAAGTTGCAAAAATACATCATGGCTCTTCAAAACAAGATTTAACTCACACACCAAAAACAGGGACGTACTTCAGGACAATGAGTTAATTCTTATATCAAGTTTATCATAATTAGTGAAATCAAAACAATTCTTATTGCTTCAAGATGCATGTTATCAAAAACTGTGAAAATTGAAATAACAATTCCTGGGAGTGTGAACCAAGGTGAACATTAAAGGTAAATAGCAAACATACATGTTTATTATTAAGATATCCCTCGACTGAAACCTCCCTTAGAAACCACCTGTCTATAAAATCCACTATTGAAGCCAGCCATGTATATAGTTACTTTTGCTGTGAACAATTTACACAGAGAAAATTTTCTGCTTTAAGATTTAATAAAGTCCAAAAAAAATAAGGTTAAGTAGATGTTGGAAAATATTTGGCCATCAGTTTTTCTTAAGGTTATAATTAGTTACTCTTACTAGAAGATTAATCTACAGCTTGTGAGCCAACAATTACCTGACAGTCAGTTTGTGTGTATCTGCCAGACATGTGATCAATTATTATCAAAGTTCTAGTCTTTAAGATAAGTCTTACTTTTGCTATTATAAAGTAACTACATTGTTCCCGAGTATCTAATATAAGTGCATGCTGGACATATCAGCTTAAACCTCATCTCTTACACCCCAATGACATAACCAACTCCTAACCTTTAAACCTCATCTCTTACACCCCAATGACATAACCAACTCCTAACCTTTAAACCTCATCTCTTACACCCCAATGACATAACCAACTCCTAACCTTTAAACCTCATCTCTTACACCCCAATGACATAACCAACTCCTAACCTTTAAACCTCATCTCTTACACCCCAATGACATAACCAACTCCTAACCTTTAAACCTCATCTCTTACACCCCAATGACATAACCAACTCCTAACCTTTATGTTACTAGACACATTCATGGATTTCAAATTCCAAAACTGGATTTCAATTTATCAATACATTTGTTTATGTAGAATTCATTATGTTCTATAAAACATTAAAGAAATGGAGCAGACAGGCTTAGTACAGAGGACATTTTCCCCCCAAATTGTTATCATTTATCAGATATGAGGTAATAAATTCCATTCACTTAATTTTTTATCAATAACCCTGTGACTTTCTCTTTTAAAAAACACCTATACTATGCATTATGACATGATAACAGTTCCTATTACACATTAGATTTTTATGAAATGATTGAGTTTCATAAAAATCAAATAGAAAAGGGTCAAATTTGCAATTCTTTGTATGCACACCCAACACATGTACAAATAGACCAATGACAAGTAAGAACCCTGGTTTTTGTCTTACCGTATCTACCATCCATATTACTAATCCCCAAACAAAAGCCAGTGATCATTTTGGATTTCAGAATTATTGGTTTACCATTATAAAACAGAATCCAAAAGTCTAAATCTAACCCCATCTGACTTATATGGTGGGCTGAAATTGATACCGAGTATGACATGGAAATGACACACTGTATGATAACATCTAATTACCACAAACATTAACACTGGAAGGTCAGAAAGAACAATACAATAATCATAAAGTAAATCCTTCATTTTCCTTTTTTTAGAAACAGTGACTTGGACATTAGAACCCATTTTTAATTTTAAGATAGGAGAACTCAGTTTTGTCTTTGCCATGTATCTATGATGCTACAGCATCGTTCCTTGTGACATCCAAATTGATAACACATGTACTACATTTTATATATTGAAATTGTGACAATGTTATCATACTGCATAGCAGCTTCAGTGTATCATAAAATATTACACCCATTGAAAGTTGTTAATTCTTATTAAATGCTTATATAAAGTTTATAGAAAGAGCAATTTTTTGGCAAACAGGTTGTTTTTTTATTATCTAAAGATGATAAAAAAGCCTTAGTGCTAAAGAAGTAAAAAAAGTCTTTAAGGACAATGATCTAAGAGCATAAAATATATAAAATCAGTAACAAAATAGCTCGAAATGCAGATTTGTTAATGTTAATGTTATTCATCAGCAGCGTTCATTTCAAGCACCTGAGTTGATCATGAATCAATCCAATTCTAATTCAAATGAATAACATTTTTTTACCCAAAATGCCTCATATGGTAGTTAGTCATCATACTTTCACTATGGGTAATTCCTTTTTAGTAATTATCATTTTTTCTTATGTTTATTTAATCTTTCAAAAAGAAAAATATCCCATCATTACCAGGGGTATATAACACATAAAATTTAGTTGCACAATTATTTTGTGTTGGGGTACAGTAACTACCCGGTATTAAAAAACAGAAACAGTAAGAAAGCATAGCAATTCGGGAATTGGAAGTCATGCTGAAGATAAAATTATACGATCTCAAGTGAAAACAAATTATGTTGTTTTACAAAGACAAACTATCAGCAAAAAAGTACCGTTTCCTTCAGCTTTGTAAGCACACTGAATGTTGTTAAGACTGAAATCATTACATGATTAAGATATAACTCACTGATACTTTGAATGTAGTTCGGAAACATCCTATCTGATTTGCAATTGTCACAACTAGCCATTGTATAACACCTAGTCCTGAAAACTTTGTCATGAGACTCAACTGTCATGTTTCAACAGTGATTTAATATTATACAGGTATTGTCAAAAATCATTAAAACATTTCAACTCCAAATCCTGTCTAATTGAACATATGGCAGTAATCCCATTTCTGATAAGAACTACCCATTATACCTGTGTATTCTGACACTTTGTCTAATCTGGCAAAATGTTCAACAGGTAGTCAGATTAGACAACTTTCACTACATATGAACCTATAGTGGTAATGATGACGGGCTAGAATCTTCCTCCCGTGTCATCTCTCTGGATTTCCTCTTTCTTCCTCTACGATTGACTTTGGCACCGGTGAAATCAAAACTGAGCTTGCATGGACTTTGGGTAATTTGTTCACAGTCTTGTGTGGCACTGGTCCCAATTGTCAAATCATCCCCCTCCCCTTGCGATTCGGAGATTGTGTGATCTGCTGTCTGCTGAAGCGGGATTTCCTGTCCTTCCTGTAACCCTGTATCAGTGTCACGTCCACCCCCATTGTTCACTGTATCAGTGTCACGTCCACCCCCATTGTTCACTGTATCAGTGTCACGTCCACTTGCATAATCACAAGGAGAATCGTTTGACCCTGTTGCATAATTCAGACCTGATTCTCCTTCTTCATCCATGGCTTCTTCCATCTTTATAACAAATTCTTCTTCTGGATCAACCCTTGGAATCTCCCTCGGTTTGCGTTTTCGGCCCCTGCGTACTTTGATCTTAATACCTGTGTATTTGGCCTCTGCAAATGAATCATCATCCCCTTGCAAGTCAATGGAATTATCATTTGAATGCTTCTTGCTTTCTCCATTCATCTCTTGTTCCTCTGTACAGTCACTTAAAACAGTCGGCACTGACAGATCCTCTGCTGGAGTAATAATGTAACTCATGTCTACCTCAGTATTACCAGTTAACTGGTGTTGCGAGGCAGACTTAGACAGATCTTCAGGATAACTATTGGTTGATGAAGCTGACTCGTTATTTGCCAGGTTGACTACATAGTGACCTCTGTCATCAGGAACGGAATCCTCTGCCGAGACAGAATTTGCAGACATTTCAGAGCTGTCAATGTTCTGCACAGAGGACATTTGCTGGGGAAACACCACAAGTTGCCCTGCTTCGTTTTCAATCTGGTTCATGTTCACTCTTTTGTATCCAGACGGAGATCCTTCCTCTTCCCCCCACACTGACTCTGTCTTTGGAGCTGTGATATCTAGTAGCTGCTCAAAGCACTCAGACTTCCTCTTTAGAAGTGCTTTCTTTGCTTCAAATTCACGCACCTTCCTCTGTAATTCTGTGACAGAAAACAAACATCAAGACAATCTTGATTATGGATTGACTTATGATACAAACAAAAGTGTTTTTGTTATAAACATCAATTCTGGGCCTTACGACTCTTACAATACATTGAAGGCTGACATGCACATCATGTCTTTTGGCCAAATAAGCGATTAATTATTAAGTACATTGATATGACATTAATTGTCCAAATAGCACTGAGGTATAAACAGACTTTTGGTAACTATTTCCCTTAATGACCTTTAAATCCCATTATCACTTTTTATCTGGGACTGAAAAGCATGGTAAATTGAATATCTAGAGCTTGAAGATAAAGTATGTATTAAAGCTTTATATGAAATATGACAGTACTGATTATTATATTTTGTTAATAACATAGAGAAATAACATTTAGTATGTACCTTCCATATCACGGTCCAGTTTCAGCCTCTGCCTCTCCATGTCTGTTTGGTGGGCCTCCAGCTTGTATTTGAGCTTCTGCATTAGGCCTAGCTGCTTTACGATCACAGAGATCTTTCTTGAGTCTGACAATCAAAATATAGAATTTATAAACTTTGTCTCTATTTCAGACTCCTTCCTGCAGCGTGACAATTAGGTATACAGTTTTTCCCTATTGCATAGATCTTCACAAGTTCTTCTATAACATGTGCTTTAACATGCTAGTACTTAAATAAAAGAACTAAGTTATCAAGCAAGATTAAAGGTACTAAAATTTCCAACGTTAAAACACAGAAGATTACGAGGGGATATATATGGTACAAGTTTACAAATTGTCACACGGATGCTATGACACTTCTGTACCGGAAGGGTTTTTAAATATAAACGATAACAAACGAACAAGAAGTCATAGCCTTCCACTTGGAAAAGGAGTGTGTAAATTAAACTTAAGAAAGTATGCCATTAAAGAAAGAGTAGTCAACCATTGGAACTCACTGCCAAACTACGTCGTCACATCACCAACACTAAATACGTTTGAAGCCCGACTGGATAAGCACTGGGGAAAACCAGAAAGCTATTATAACCATGAAATTGATAATAATGAACTTATTAACTGTTGGGGTGTCAGCTTAGAGTCGGACGATACACCTGATCTGGATATATAGGCATATGCCTGCATCCAGTATTATTATATTACTCCTGGCTCTGGGGGAGCTTGTTTGTTTCAGACTTTCTCATTGAAAAATTATCAGTCAATTTCTGATGTCATACTATACAAAGTTTTTATTGTATATATCTTTGCAATGATATGGACTTTCATTTAATTGGAAATTTAATTTAAATGCAGTCTGAAATCAAAGATTCTCTGATTTTATATTGATTTCATACTCATGGTTATCATTTTGATATCTGGCAGTAATCTGGAACTAAATCATAGGGGGCATAGCGGTGAAAATCACCAAATTCAGCCAATCATTGGATAGGATGCATCAGATGAAAGCAAGCGATTCTAGGATAACAACAGGTGCAGACCTACTGAAGTAGGTCAAGCCTAAAGAATGGGGGTGAAAAGGAACCCTGAATATATCAGAAGGAACATTAGTATGGCCCTATAGGTGTATAGGGATGTGTATCGTGAGTGATGCTGCAATATGATACGTATCACGATACTTCAGTCGCGTACTATGTGTATTAAGCAGTTATTTGAAACCTTTCTTCATACTTTTTATTTAATGGGAGTAAAAAAGATACAATATATTAATATATAAATAACATTAAATACCAAAAAGTACTATGTAGACATCATTCAAGTATTGTATTTCTTCACTTCTGACTTGAATATATTAATAAGATAATAATATATGAAATATTTAGCCTGGAATGATGTGAAAATTGAGGATTTAGAGTGTAAATTAAATCCTTAAAACCATAATTGTCAACAACAGAAAACGGATGAAGATTTATTAACCGATAGCGGTCGTAATTGGTTTTGAACAGAAACTGTCACATTTCCGCTTTATTCCCTAACATAGAAGTAAGGCTGACTTGTTTGACATATCAATCCTTTTTAATGTTATAAAAACTGTGTAACCTGAGTTTCTCTTCGAACTGGCACAGTAAAGATCGAAGTATTGACGAGTCGTATGCGTGTGCAAGTTGGTGTTTTCCCCGCATATTTAAGTTTTCTCCAACATTCATTGCAATACAAAAACAAATTGTCCATCTAGAATACATTACATTTGCATTTAGTAGATTTGAAAGTAAACCATTGCAAGATAGGCGTCTTGAAATGTGCAGACGCCTTGGCGTATTTCTCGTCATTTGGGTTTGTTGAGTGCTAAAACTAATATTTCTTTGTAGGATTCCAACAAGGGAGAGTAAAAAATGACAAGTATCGCAAGTATCACGATACAGTCTTGGTGCACCGGTACATCGTATCACGGCCTTGCAATCCAATACATCGGTACATCGTATCGCGGCCCTTGTGATCCAATACATTCGTGCATCGTATCGCAGCCCTTTTGATCCAATACATCGGGACATCGTATCGCGGCCCATTGTGATCCAATACACCGGTACATCGTATCTCGGCCTTGCAATCCAATAGATCGGTACATCGTATCGACGCCCTTGCGATCCAATACATTGATGCATCGGTGAATCGTTACACCCCTAACGTAGGATGCAGACCTCCATCACTTACCTGCTAAAGGCACACGTCGTTTGATCATTCCATTCTTCAGTGCATCTAGAGATGCCTTGATTTCTCTGAAGAATTCATCAACAAGACCAAGTTCCACAATTCCTTTCCAGAGTAGACGGTCTTCACAATCTGTACAAAGTAACAAAATATAAATAAATAACATATCTTCTAGTACCATTACAGGCAAAACACTTGATTATTATACTGTAGTTTGTCCTACATAAAGCTACTTTCTCCTGATTCCATTTCGATATTACTGTACCACAGCTCTGGCAACATACTACATCGGAGCAGGCTACACAGTTGCTTGGAATGAGCCTGTGAACTTACACTGTTTAAGGTAGAAAAATTTCACAATTATGGTTATGGGAACAATTTTAACTTGATCATTTGATCATTTGACGGTATCAATGTCTCAAAATATTTTTTTTGTTTTTGGAAATCTGTAAAAATACCATTAACACACCACTAATCCAGTCGATCACCAGCAGTTGTACGCGAAGACATGAACCTTGACTAACATTATAGATATGTGTGGTGTAACAAGACCTACCTTCCTCGGTGATATCCTCTGGTCCCTCATCTGGTGCCACCATGGGAACAGGTGTAATGAGTGTTGGATAAATTTGTGGTGCCAGCTTCTTGGCCACCCTAGACGTAGGACTTGACCGCACATATGTACTGGCCTTGCTGGCGGCCATATTCTGAGCCTGAAGCATCTGAAACTGGAGCTGATTGACATCAGGCTTCACATCTTCCTCCTCCTCCCCATTTTCGTATGACCAAGATAAATCAGAAGGGACTTTTTCAATCTTCATTATGTTGTTTCCTGATAATGTGGTGAACATTCCCAGGGGACGAGTTGCACTGGACTTGGAGTCTGAAGGCAACAGGCTGTCGGCTGCTGGTCCTGACCTGGCCCCCGGTGCCCTCGCAACACAACGTCCTGTACACATGCTATCATGATTGCTGAATTTCAGGATACCAGAGTCAATGTACTTTCTATCGTAGAAAAAAAAATCTGTCAGCAAAGATATCTCAATATGTGACGGACACAAATATCACTTTCGTCACACTGTCAGATGTTAAAATCAGTTTTGAGCAATGATCATTTTTAAATATGATAAATTTACACACAAAAAAAAAACTACTGCAAGACATGAATGCCGGCCCCCTTTACTATGTAAATTAGTTTCAGTGTTTGATGTTTCATGTGACGGGAAGCGACGGACCTGGGCAATACTATATGACCCCCATTTTATGGTGGGGGCATAAAAAAGGTTCTGATTAATCAAATTTCCCAGGAGAGCAGGTTGATCTTTGCCTAAAAACAACTACTGGGTACTTATTGAATATTCCTTTGAATGTCATTGAACATAATGAAGAATGTCTACAAAGATGATAATGTATGAAAAAAGACATTTTGAAATTATTTTTCATCAGATGTCAACCTATAGAAACAATATTCAAATTTGATCTTGGTATTCTAGAGTATTTCAAGTTTTCCTAAAATGAATAGATCTGTAAGTAATATGAACTATGAAAAAAATAATTAAACTCCAAGACCAGGAAACTACTAGATCCTTACCTCAACTGAAAACCATTGAGCCGCACAGCGTTTTTCCAATCTTTTAGTCTTGCCTTTTCTCCCATAACTGAAAATCGCTTAGGGGTGATAAAAGTGCCATTGACCTCAATGCATTCACGGTGAATACCTGGACAGAAGAACCTATCTCGGTGGAGGTTTCCAATCAAACTTCCACATGTCACAATCAGAATGTTGTCATCAGGTAAAGGCTAAAACAGAATAACAGACAATTGTTCTTCTTTGTTTGGGAAAATTTCACAAAAATGTGTTGCATGCATTAAAATGAGATTTTCAAAATTGAATCCTATTAAACAGCTAAAACAAACTCGTTTTGATTAATTGGATAATTTTGGACATTAATTTGGAGGGCTGGTGGGGATTTATACAATTTTTCACTCACTTGGGGTGAAACAGGAGAATCTTCCCCCAAGGGTTGATATTCCCCATCTCACCTCAAGAAGTTGAATGATACTTTTTCTCTGACCCTATCATTAATGCAATACTGATGTTACATGTATACAGTCTCAATGAATTGTTAATGCAACAAAGATTTTATTACAGTATTTCATGATTTTCCATGAATAAATATTTTTTGGGTTGAATTTAGGGCCTAATAAAAGCCCTTCCCCTACAAAATGTCTGCTGTATTTTCCATAAATCAATGCAAATGAAAATTTCTGCTGTATTTTCCCAAAGTCACCAGGCAAAGGCCCCAGTACAAAGTAGGTAGAAAAATCACTGCACAGTACCTTTAATACTTCTCTCATCCTCATTGAGTGGTTCCAGAATGTTCACTTGGTCTGAAAAGAAAAACATAGATATGTTGTATGAAGAATGAGGTGCTATAACTGAAAAGCATACAGATCCCAGTTGTTTTAAGTCAGGCCTGATTAGCTCAGTGATTCGGGAATACAGAATTAGTATTATTGAACCCTGGACTAATGCTTTTCCAGGGCTTTCAGTAAACCCTTGAGAGGACAAGTATATGTTTTTGACTAGGTGAACTAATAATTACATAATGTTTTAGTTTGATCCTTCTATATTAACTTGTTCACAAGATCTTGGATAAAATGTAAAATTTACCAACAGAACAAGATGTCCATAAGGCCTGCATGTATTGGAATTGTATGATGTTTGAGGTGGTACTTACAGGTCTGACCTATAGATAACATGTGACCATGAAACAAACAGAATGTACCTCAACTCCCAATTTATTTCATTACACTGGATAGCCCTGCACTGTAACCATGATTAACTACAGGCCAAATAACTAAACTAACATGATTCTAGTCTGTATGTCCTACTGTTCTTTAGTTGTTTTAAAGTTGTTAATATATTTGACCTGTCACAACCTTGAAACCTTAGTCATCAGAATAACAGAGGATATATTATTTCGACTGCTTTTTTTCCTGGAACATTTCACTTGACAAAAGTTATGAAAAACAGGGCAAGAACTCTAAAATTCAGTTGAAATTTTAATCCACAATATATCAAGTAAATGGAACACTCTTGAAACTAGACCCAAGGTCAAATGCCCGAGATTAGGTTTGGTTTGGTTGTGTTTTACGTCCTATTAACAGCTATGGTCATTTAAGGATGTACCAGGTTTTGGTGGTGGAGGAAAGCCGGAGTTCCCCGAGAAAAACCACCGACCAACGGCCAGTATCTGGCGACTGCCCCACGTAGGTCTCGAACCCGCGACCCAGTGGTGGATGGCTAGTGGTAGCAGAATGTCAGACACCTTAACCATTTGGCCCCCTCTGAGATTAGGTACTTCAATTTGTTAGAACATCTGTCTAGAATTGGAGGACACAGGTTTGAATCTCTGGCTAGCTAATGCCATAGCATGGCTAAGATTTCACAGCCTTAATTCATGAAAGGGATATCTACAGACTTGTAGTGTACCCACTCGTCTGACATGCAATCAGGTAACGAACACTAGTGTTTTTGCATTCATGTTGTAAATATCACAAGACGTGCACATCTAAAATCTTTGCGGATTTTTTTTTATCAAAATGCATATAGTTTTAAGCAATTCAAGCAAGTTTAAATTGCCTTTATCTCTCGTGTATAAAATTAAGAAATAATTCTTGGGAAACGATATGGTGTGGCAACATGCATCAATACAGTGGCAGATCCAGAGGGGTTTTTAGACTCCAGGAACCCCCCCCCCCCTAAGTATTTTCACAATTTTCCCCCCACATGGAACACACACACACACACGGAAATTTGGAACCCCCTCAGATAGGTCTTTGGATCCGCCACTGCAATATCCTATCACATTTCCAAACACAAAAAAAAATGTTCACATGAAAATTTTATTGAATAATTTAATGTCATAAATTTATCAGAAATAGTTGAAACTTTCTTAAAGTGAAGAATGAACAATGATATTTTAAGAACTGTCAATTATTTTCATAAACTGACTTATTACCGTACCATTATCATTATAAGAGACTAAAAGGTGTTCCATTTTTCAGTTACTGACAAGCTATATTTTCCAAGTGAATCTGACTATAAATTTTAAATGAGCTTTTTAAATAGACACATGCACTGCATGGTGATACCAGTTAGCTAAAGGCATCTAATAATTACATTAAAAAAAATGTTCCATTAACTGAATAGGAAATACTTATATTATTCTTTCAAAAGTGTTCCATTATGGATAACCTCATGTACATTAGCTATGGATAATTAATTGTAAATGAGGGTGATCATTTTTGCCCTATTTTCATTTGGAAAAATCTTGTAATTGTTTTGTTCATTTTTCTTAAACTTTAAGCAACCTCTGACAAAAAAGAAAAGGATGATTTTTATTCAAGTCCGGGCCTTTTCATTTTGAGGGATTATTTTATTACTGCGATGTTGTGTACAGTATACGCCAATATACGTCCCTTTTCTGACTTAAATTTGCAGGCAAACTGACAGTTATCATTACAATTATGAAAGTTGTCATCAAGTAATTACAGTGAAGGTAAATAAACTTATATTGTTTGAATTTGATGGGATTTAGTTAGAAGACTTATTTATGAGGAAATAGAATATGAAAGGGAAAATTATAGGACTTCCTATTTTGACTCACAAGTGTTAATCTAAAAAAAACACCAATTTTATGAAAATAAGGCAAACGTTGTCTATATCAATAACAGTTTTTATAGAAGTTCCAATAAGTTAATATGAAGTTAGTCTGCAAAAAAAACGCCGCAGTGTAAGTACACGTCATTACGGTTTGGACCGCCGACCAACTTACAATTGAGACAAAAGCCCCGACTTATTTTCAACGTCGTATGTTACAGCCAGTGATTCATAACCGAGCCTGTTTCATAAACGCAAAAATACTGCACACATTAAGCAAATAACAAAATATAAAACAACGTTTTGTTTGCTGAAGACAGCATAACGACGTATCTAATAACGTCTGAACCTTACAAGACATGCATTTCGTGTATTTACTAGTATAGGCCAATGCGGCACTAACGCAGTACAGCGTAGTCGTCCCTCAATACTTCCTGGTCAGGAAAACGTTTACCTTTTTCGTTTTTGAAGACGTTTTTGTATTCGTACGCTTCAGAACATTATCTTAAGACGTTTTCATATATGCAAAACGTAACATTGGTCGTTGTTTCAAGATGGACGTCCAAATTTATTCCAAGAGTACGGCCTGCTTTGTGACGTCATGTAACGTTTCGCAGTACACACGTAAATAAACGACTATCACGTGACTGTACGGCGTGAAGTTGCGAGACCAAACGGCGGAAAGCGGAAGTAGGATGTCAGAATATAAACAAACGTCAACGTTGGTCTGTTGACCGCTCTACTTAAATTATTTGGAAACGTTTTTGCTTTATATCAACGCAGTGCATGATTTTTCTGTTGGAGGTGTGTAAAACTGTAGGTATCGATTCGAAATTTAGCTAGAACGTTTAAATCTCGATCTCGAAAAGACAGGCAGCTGATCAGGTTGGGGAAAACCACAAACTTGCGTATAATACGCAAACTCGCCTATTATACGCCAGTTGGAGTATGGATTTGTTATTAAAAATAACCCAAATCGCTTTAACAGTTACTTTTGCAAGATATTATTAAAAATCGCATTAATTTACGACAAGGTAAATAACATTTTGCTAAAATATGTTTGCTGAAAGCTTTACCGGAAGTATTGCATCTATTTTCGGTCCTTTCCCACATGCAAATAAAGTTTATTTTTTTGGTTCATTGGTTCATTGCAGGTGACACCGTTGTAAGCGTCTATTCGCTTCTTGAGGTGCTTCTTTATATTATCCACTTCACTTCCGGTTGCATTTGGAGGCATTTGAAGAGGATTTTATTTCTCAAAAATTAGTGAAAACTATGTACATGTGCAGTGGGTGGTAACAAAAGTTTCATCTTGATTTATATAAAATAAGGATTTCAGTTATAAAAAAAGGACTGACAGGCCTGTATAGATCACAAGTCTCAAAAAAAAAATGAAAAATAGAGAGTTGTTTTACTATTGGTATATATGTATACACACATTGTGGTAAATTAGTTACAGACCTGTCAATGGGCTATACCACGGCCTTAGATAACACCGTTCAGAAGTGATACATTTTGGGCTATCTGTACCGTTACATTGTCCGGATTTCAAAGTAATTGATCTTTGCTATACTTCTGTTTACATTTAATAATGTTTGTTGTGTCGAATACCAGAGAAATGTCGCAGAATTCGAAAGTTTATCTTATCTAATTCCGTGGCTATACTAGGAAGTATAGATATTAAAAGATTTCATGGGTTAAAAAAGATATTGAATATTAAATTAGACATGAAATTTTTGCATTTGTATTATGTTTCATGACTAAATCATGGACAAACAATTTGAAAAAGTTAAGATCAAAGGGATTTTGGCTATTTTAAGTAACAAATCCATACCCCTATTGGCGTATAATGCGTATTATACGCAAGTTAGTGTTTTTTCCCGACCTGCTGATAGGAGTTTGGGTTTCTGTGGAATTTTACAGTTTTGTGCGAGAAAACTGAAAATTTCCACAGAAACCCAAACTCCTATGCAGTCTATGTGGAATTTTTCAGTTTTGTGCGAGAAAACTTAGTTGAAAACGAAGAGGGGTAAATCTGCCGTTGCACTCCTATCTATTTTTTAAGCATATTATAGGTGGTTTTTTTGTATTACTGTTATTATTCATTTTTGACAGAACTTCAGGCTCCTGTGGTTTGATCAGCCAAACAGTATATGATTCCATGATGTTTTTTTTGTAGCTCTTGAGGTGGGAGTGGTGGTGAGTAGCTGTGAGGTGGGAGTGGTGGTGAGTAGCTGTGAGGTGGGAGTGGTGGTGAGTAGCTAACTGATCTGTACTGTACATCTAGTCAACATGCCGGGAGAGTCGACCCTAAGTCCACCAGCACCCCTGGACCTCGGGCGCATGGAGGAGGAAGCAAAGGCTTCAGCAACCAAGAGGATCGCCAGCATACTACAGGTATAGTTATGACAATATACCTGCTCTCATAGTAAATTCAGCACCTTTTCGAACAAGGAAGTAAAGCGACTGTACACTGTTGTTCTCTGATAGGAGTTTTACTTCATTTTAATATAATTAGGGGCCACGTTGACAGATTTTTGAATAATTTAGAGCTCAACATTTTGTAATCAGATTCAAACTTTTACAAACATGTGTTCAATGGCCTCTGTAAATATCTATTACAAACATGTTCAATGGCCTCTGTAAATATCTATTGGCCCAGAAAAACATCAAGAGATAAAATATAGACCTTTTGACTTGTTTTATATTACTATGTAGTAAGAATATTGAAATCATACAATAATAGTTCACATTGACATTTTTGTAAGGTGATTATAGACGGTTGCTAATTTGGCCCATTCTCATAGGCATTTATATCTCACATACAGCTCAAAAAAGTCAAAAAGGCAATATATTTTTGAGACCATTTTAGTGACTAGTTAGTCTTGTTAGTCAGTGTTGATGATACTGTAATACACTTNTTTGTTGCCTTTTTGACGTAACACTCCAGAACATATTAATTTTGTGTCTTTGTACTGTAAACCAGAGACCAGAACAGCTAGAGAGAGTAGACCAGTACAAGAGGAGAATGACTCGCAAAAAGGTAATTTCATATAACTGGATATCTTTTATATATGAAAGAGATTACTACAGTGTATATATTACTGATGCAAAATTGACTGTTAATTTACTTGCGAAAATAGTGACTGTATTTTACTGGTGAAAATGTAGAATAAAAGGTAACTTGATTGTTACTTCTACAAAAGGAAAGTATTTTTAAAGTTAACTGGTGATAGGTCAATTGCTTACACTTCACTGATGAAAAATAAATGTATTTTATTTGTGAAAATGGTAATAACATGTTCATATTTATATACATACATGTAGACTTCAAATAAACAGTCTGAAGAATCTCCTTGACGAGATGAAAGTAATAAAGACTCATTGTTGACATTTTTCTTTTTATATTATATCTTCGTGGGTAAGGATAATTTTTCTGCTTTTATAATGTATTTAAACAGGTGGAAGTCCAGTTGTTCAGAGATAATTAGGCTAACAAGAAGTTAATGAGAAAATATTAAATGTATGCACATGTTTTTGTAGAACCTGCAAGTGTTCTGTAGAATTAAATCCAATTAAAGCATATGAAAATATTAATATATTTCTCAAAAATATCATTAAAACAATTTAGATTATGACTTACTTTGCAGAATCAGGGCTATTTGAATTTTGAGCCTGAGTTAATGTTTTGTAATGTGATCATTTATAATGAAGTTGAGTGCTATGCTCTGTTTCATTTGAAGGCCTCAGTGGACACTATGTTGAAGTCTGCTGTCCAGTCTCAACTAGATGGGGTCAGAACTGGTCTGAACCAGTTACAGAGTGCTCTACAGGATGTGTACGAAATCAAACAGAGGTTTGTGTAATATACAGTAATGGAACCAACCATTATATTTGTAGTAGAATGGTTTCTAGGTTAGAACCAACCATTATGTTTGTAGTATAATGGTTTCTAGGTTAGAACCAACTATTATGTTTGTAGTAGAATGATTTCTAGGTTAGAACCAACCATTATGTTTGTAGTATAATGGTTTCTAGGTTAGAACCAACCATTATGTTTGTAGTAGAATGGTTTCTAGGTTAGAACCAACCATTATGTTTGTAGTATAATGGTTTCTAGGTTAGAACCAACCATTATGTTTGTAGTAGAATGGTTTGTAGGTTTGTAGTAGAATGGTTTGTAGGTTTGTAGTAGAATGGTTTCTAGGTTAGAACCAACCATTATATTTGTAGTAGAATGGTTTCTAGGTAGAACCAACTATTATGTTTGTAGTAGAATGGTTTCTAGGTTAGAACCAACCATTATATTTGTAGTAGAATGGTTTCTAGGTAGAACCAACTATTATGTTTGTAGTAGAACAGTTTCTAGGTTAGAACCAACCATTATGTTTGTAGTAGAATGGTTTCTAGGTTAGATTAGAACCAACCATTATGTTTGTAGTAGAACGGTTTCTAGGTTAGAACCAACCATACTGTTTGTAGTATAATGGTTTCTAGGTTAGAACCAACCATTATGTTTGTAATAGAATGGTTTGTAGGTTTGTAGTAGAATGATTTGTAGGTTTGTAGTAGAATGATTTCTAGGTTTGTAGTGTAGTATGGTTTCTAGGTTTGTAGTAGAATGGTTTCTAGGTTAGCTGGATGTCAATTTCAAACCTGACTTAGTTGAAGGTCTTTCTGATAAATACAGGTTTCCGAATATTACAGGTTCGTTTTACATAAAAAGAGTGGGACCTAGTTGAAGGTCTGGATTTCCAGATTTTACAGTGTAACATAGATTGTATACATTATGACTGGTTTCTACAGGTAACCCAACTATACAGGGTTACACAAAAAGTATACATTGACACTTGTTGGAGGTCTGGTTTATACAGTTACCGTAAAAGGCTACAGAGAAGTATAAAAAGTGGAACCTAGTTGGAGGTCTGGTTTATACAGTTACCTTAAAAGGCTACAGAGAAGTATAAAAAGTGGAACCTAGTTGTAGGTCTGGTTTATACAGAAAAGAAAAACTTTTTAAATGCTTATTAATACAGTTTCTGTATTTTCAAGTTTTTTAAGTATAATGGATAAATGGAAAATACTCCAAAACTTTAAATTAAATGACTGAATTTTTTTTCTCTGAAATATTGCATTCAGTACTTATAACACAATATATATATACTAACTAAAATAAAATATATAAGTAATGTTTATCATATTTGATCTTTTTTCAGTTTGGATGTTGTAGAAGAGACGTATAAATCTATTCAGCCATTGAAAGAGAAATTGAGTTCTGTCAACAAAGAAAACAACAGCTTCTGTCAAGTAAGTTGAATATATATTTCATTAAAAAGAAATTAACTATTTCAAGTGGGTCCTTACTGGATTTGAGACTCCGATATGCAATAACCTAGTACTGTATTATTCGACAAAGTGATGTTTGACCTGGTGACGAGAAACAATATATCATACACTTTCAAGTGGATTTCAGTTATTTACCTTTTCTTGACATTATTTAAACCGCTCTTGATCTTGATTTTGCCCCTCTTGTTTTGTACATCAGTGATTATTTTGTTTTGTGCCTCTTTAGCTGGGGTCTGCGATGGAGAATCTGAAGCATATTTTTACAGTACCTGAAAGTGTACGGAAAACAGCTGAGCTTATCACTGATGGCAAGCTTCTACAGGCACACAAACAGTAAGTTTGTTATAGGGGCAAAACAGAAATGATAAACTTAGGCAGGCACACAAAAAGTAATTTTGTTACCTATTACAGACAAATCGGATTATTAAATCTTTATTGCATGTACAGACAGTAGGTTTGTTACTTATTATGGACAAAACTATACATAATGTGGGTGCCCAGTAATAAGCCCACACCACTTTCTTCAAGTTTGTTGGCATCGGTAAAAAGATATTTTTTGTAATGTTGTATGTAATGCAATGCATGTTAAGGCAACATGTAATATAGACTTATTATGCAATAATGCTCAATTAAAGTCACTTTTTTTATTCATGACTTAGTTTTTGCTACATTAGCATATATGTAATTTAGACATTTGGTCATTTACTGAATACCATATTGGTTCAGCTTAGATTAGTGTATCTTGTCTCCTGTGATAATTTTAATGAAAAGTGAAAATGACCCTTTAATTGTATACATATTTAGTCAAATTATAGTAATTTAATAAGCTCAACTACTTTTATACCTATGCTTACTGTGATAATAATTTGAATGCTCATTTGTTTTCTATTATATCATGATTTTAACTAACCCTTTTACTAACAGAGGACCCTGTGGAAGATTAGCTTTGCTAAACAGGTTTTTTATCCTCAATAAATAAAGTTTATTATTATTATTATTATCAATTAAAAAAATTTGATTTCCAAATGACTTTCAGGCTCTCTTTCGAGCAGTTTATATGATTTTCGTGTAATCAACACAATCGTACCCACCAATGGAGATGAGACAGAAAAACTTTTACCTGTGGTGCTGGATTTTAAATGTCCAATCCAAAGTTATGCCAAATGCTGGGATTTCAGGTCTTACAACCAAATTGAAGAATTATTATTTTTCACCCACCACTGAAAGGAATTTTTAAAGAAGATGGAGCTCTATGTACCAAATGGCCAGCAATAACATGATGTCGTCTTTGGTAAAATGTTACATCATTCTATTGTTCTATTGTAGAGATACAAGCACTTGTCCATAAAAGGTACAATTTGATAAAATCTTTTCTCAGCTAGAACAATGTAAAACTCGAGTTTCCCAATGGTATTATATGTTATACGTTTGCTTTTTGTCAGTCTGTCTGACCTTGAAATGGCACGAGATGATCTGATGTTTGAACTTCACAAGCAACCCCAGAAATCTCCGACAGACAACAATGTAAGTACATATATGTCAGTATATTTTTGTCCTTTTAAAATGATGAAGTGAATGAAAAAAGTATCATTATATCCAATTATTACTATACATGTATATGCTATAAGAACTTAATGTGCCGTGTGTCTTTCTGGATGCAATGTGAGCCAATTCGGCAGCAAAATTCGGCCCAGTTCTCAGTGGGAAAAATTAATCCAAAAGTTCCCAAATAAAAAAGTAGTTTATGATGCATGTAACATTTGAATGTAAATAAGCTTTAGAAAACCAAGATGTTTTGGTATTTTAAATGGTGTTTAGCCTAAAAAAATGTTTTGATAGGGTAAGTGAATTTCCAATTCCAAATTTAGATTCACACAATAGCTTTATTCCCAATTCAAAAGGGGCCGCAGTGGCAGAGTGGTTCAGGCATCTGACATTCTGCTACCACTGGCCCTGCACCATTGGGCCAGGGTTCGAGGCCTAAAAGGGGCAGTCGCCAGGTACTGGCCGCAGGTTGATGTTTCACTCAGGTTTCTCTGGCTTTCCTCCACCACCAAAAACCTGGCACGTCCTTAAATGACCATAGCTGTTAATAGAACGTTAAACACAAACAATAAACAACAATTCTAATTCCAAACCCTATTATTGAGATAATAAAACAACCAACAATGTGATTACTGTGACAACTGATGGATAAAACTATTAAATGTTTCTATTGATTGTTCCAGACACTTACAAAATATTTTGTGGAAGTTGAGAAACTTTCAGAAGACCTTGGAAAACAGTTGTGGATCATCATGGGCAGGTTACTGATAACTGTCCGGCGGGAACCCACTCTTATTGTCACAGCACTGCGCATCATTGAGCGAGAGGAGAAGTGAGTAAACTAAAGGGGACGTAAACAAACTGCTGTAGAACTGGTTAACAGACCATTGCTTATACATTATATTTACAAATAAAACAAAACACGAAGACTAGTATAATCGGCTAGCGCTTTCGCCCATGTTGGGGCTCTTCAGGCGATTTTGCTATATACATATAGTGTTTTTTGAAATTAATTTCTAGCCCTGCATTTAATATCTACTCCAATATCATCTTTTGTACGGTATATCTCTAGACAGCTTGTCCTAGGGTAGCATTGAAAACTAAACTAACACACCTATTTGTATTTAAGGCGAGATGAAATAATTATGAAAAGGAAAGAGCAAACAGGGTTCCTTCCGGTGTGTCGACCAAAGAGATGGAAGCAGAAAACTTTTGAAGTTCTGGAACGCACAATTACGTACAAGTAGGTATCCTGCTGAGCTCTTTGTCAACATTTATCAGGTTTTTGGTATAATTTTTACAGCTGATTAGAATATTCACGATAAAACCATTCATTCAGTCACAATGATATGTTAACATATTTCATTCAAAGAGATCCGATTAGATATTTTATTTTGTCATAGCGATGTGGGAACATTACATTCAGTCAAAGAGACACTGTATAACACGAAATGTTTGTGGGTACTTTCCATCTTGGTTTGAAGCCATTTAGATTGTTTCGTGGTACAAACTGTCATGGATATCCTATATCAGCATACAGTAGACATGTATCTCATTCACATTCGTGGTGTTTTTTTTTGTGGTTCAATAGCAACAATGAAAACCATGAGTGTTTTACACAGCGAATATTATACAGCTATGGGCTTTTGTGCTGGTAAATATGCTGTGATATGAACCTGAAAAAGTGATATTGACCGAGGAAAAAGCCGAGTTCTATATCACTTTTTGAGGTTCATATCATGTCTTATTTTTTTTTCATATTATTCCCGACAAGTGATTGGCCAAGAGTGCATCACGTGTCCACCGATAAAAACCGATATTGACTTGGAGCGCATGATTTTTGTTGAAGGACTGGGTGTATTTAAAAATAGAATTATGACCTGACTCCAAACAAACACATCGTCCCGCTTCCGTAGATTTTTGCTGTGATTTTTTTTCAGATTGCTAACATTACTCTTTTGAAAATAATAAAACAATTGTAGCCTTGGACTTCGGCCGATACCTGGATTTATCGACCCGAGAAAAGATATATTGACCGAGGACTGCATCTTTTCTCGGGTCGATAAATCCAGGTATCGACCTCAGCCAAAGGCTATAATTGAATAATATTTACCAGCACAAAAGCCCATAACTGTTTTATTATATGCTTCAACATTAAAACAAAACAAAACTCAAGGTTCTGATTTTCCTAAGCGAGACTCCGTGTAAAGTTTGGCCAGGTTTGAATTCAACAGTTCAGCATTGTAGCTTTCGAAGGCATCGTCTAGGTTCTTTTTCTTAAGATAAGCATGGAGGACATGCACTGAGTGTTCAATGGCCTTTTTTATGTTAACAGCATCTTTCTCCTCAAATAGTTTTGGTAATTTTCTGATATAATGGAGGACAAACGTTCGCCAGCAGCCATCTTCTAATGTCATCTGACAGATCGCGTTGCTGTCTAATTGCGCATGCGCTACGACAGGTTCCGGGGTATAATTCATGTTAAACAGTATGACAAAATGTTTCATTCAGTCAAAGATATATGACAAAATGTTTCATTCAGACATAAAAATATGTATTTTGACAGTAGATGTCTGTGTTACTGACCCAGCTTTCCTCTGGCCCTGACACCAGACTTTGATATTTTGACAGATAGAGGTCCCACACCAGACATCTATCTGTCAAAATGTCTAAGTCTGGTGTCAGGGCCAGAGGTACTCACACCAGACACCTATCTGTCCAAATATCTAAGTCTTGTGTCAGGGCCAGAGCAACCCACACCAGACATCTATCTGTCAAAATGTTTAAGTCTGGTGTCAGGGCCAGAGGTACTCGCACCAGATATCTATCTGTCAAAATATCTAAGTCTTGTGTCAGGGCCAGAGGAACTCACACCAGACATCTATCTGTCCAAATATCTAAGGCTTGTGTCAGGGCCAGAGGTACTCGCACCAGACATCTATCTGTCAAAATATCTAAGTCTTGTGTCAGGGCCAGAGGTACTCACACCAGATATCTATCTGTCCAAATATCTAAGTCTGGTGTCAGGGCCAGAGGTACTCGCACCAGACATCTATCTGTCAAAATGTCTATGTCTTGTGTCAGGGCCAGAGGTACTCACACCAGACATCTATCTGTCCAAATATCTAAGTCTGGTGTCAGGGCCAGAGGAACCCACACCAGACATCTATCTGTCAAAATGTCTAAGTCTGGTGTCAGGGTCAGAGGTACTCACACCAGACATCTATCTGTCCAAATATCTAAGTCTTGTGTCAGGGCCAGAGGAAACTTGTGCTAATGTTGGAGATTTTACATTGACATGAGAATGGACCACAAAAGGAGACATACCGGTACTCAGTGGTCAATATTCAATGCTGGCAGTAATGTATATAATTCTTTTAATAATCTTCCTCCGATATTTAATAATAACCTGAGATTGGATAGCTTGTATATAATATAGTTATTATGTGATTATCAACCTTTGTTCAAAAGAAGTCTCTTAGGTGTTTTAAGTGTTTTCCTTGTTGTAGAATTGAGGGCAACCAAATGGAGGACAGAGATACTAACAAAATGTGGCTTGTTCGACATCTTGAGATCACCCGCCAACTCATGATCGATGATTTACGTGTTGTCAAGGTAACCATGTTTTGCCATTAATAGCTAATCTGCAATCAGGTGATAGACCAAATGGCAACTCAATGGCATTCATGTTGTTAAGTTTTTTTTGACACAAATATCTGGAAAGTGAGTAGTGTGCTTCCACCGGGGATCAAACCTGTGATCCCAGACTTCCTAGATCCCAGACTTCCTAGATCCCAGACGCTCCCACTGAGCTAAAGGAAATTCTCTTTAGTGCGAAGCTAGAAGGTGATCTTAATCCTATGTACAATTACAAACTGCCAAAACTATAATCAGGTGTTAGACCAACTGGCAGGTCATGATCGATTACCTTCATGTTGTCAATGTAACCCTGTTTTGCCAATGAATATCCAAGCTGCTTTCATTTGATTAACCTATAGCAGAGCCAGTGTAACTTAAATTTAAAGTCAAAACTAAGGTCACATTTGCGTATCCCGGTTGAAATGGTTCAGGTGGCACACTACTCCACCATAAACAAACGCACTTAGACCGAACTTTAGGTAGAGCTTAGTAGTTGCACAGTTTCAGAGTTTTGCGACAAATAAATAACAATCTTCAAGAAAACTATGTCCCTCTTTCAATGTGTCCTCTAACATATCCTGAAATATCCATGGAAAACTCAACCATGTTTTATAAAGAAATAATGCAAATTAGCCATTGTTAGCATTTTAGATTTGGTCAGGCACGTCTGGACCCCACAATATGCTTGTACCGAATATTCCTGTTGTCAGCCTCGGTTCAGATCTGTACCTGTCTTTTTCTTTTCCGGTTCAGCTGGTTGAACCTGTTGAACCAAAAACGTGAAAGGGGAATTATTGTATGCCCTGACCTAGTTAACTAGTACCCGGCAGTGAAACATGATATCATAATTGGACGTTATCATTAATTTGTTATGTTTTTCTTTCAGACCATGCTTCCACCTGTGTTCCCCCCTTCCTATGCCATCGTAGACAAGTATGTTAAAATGTACCACGCCGGGATAGCTAGTCATGTAAGTACTGTGGTGGGTAGATGTTGTCATAGTGATGGTGAGAAGACATACATGTTATTTTAGCTATATGACATTAGTTGGGTATGTAACCTTTATCAGGTTAGGGCTGTGAGTATTTCTCTTAATTCAATGAAAAACTCCAAATCCATCAAACCTATTTGTGTTTTCACTCACTCCTATCATCTACTCAAATGCTGAAAGATTGAATACTTACTGATATTGGAGAAAAATAATACTTAATGAGCAAAAAATATGGATTAAATGGTACAAACTATATACAAAGTATCATAATACAAAAATAGGGGTGTACAATTTCCTATTAAGGGTAATAGGACGTATAGGCAGATTTTGAATAACTCTACTAGCCAACTTGTATGTTCATTTCCACTAGTCCTGACATAAAATCTACAAGGTGTCGGGATAGGGAAATTGCACACCTCTGACAGAAAAACATTTTACCATAGATGAAATGCAATGAATTCCTGGACTAATTTAACATTACATGGAACAGTTTAGAATTCGTGATAAGAATGATGCATTCACTAAAAGTCTTCTGCATTTCTTATGCTGAATCATTCATGTTGAAAAAAATATCTATTTAATTATTTGCAAATTTTACAGATATTTATAAGCTCACCTGGTCCGAAGGACCATGGTGAGCTTATGCCATACCGCAGCGTTCTTCCGTCAACTTTTCCTTTAAAATGCTACTACAATGTAGTCCTGAACAGCCAAGTAGCTGTTTTGAACGCAAATATGAGGAATGAAATGCATCTTTTAACCCTTTCACCACTGTAGACCATAATGAACTTATCCAGGTCAATGCATGGTAAATTCTATTAAAGTTACATAGGTATGAAAGGGTAAACATTGATGATGGTATGCAACACAGTTCTGTTCAAACATGTTCCAAGATTAACAGAGTCTTCACATCGTGATTAAAAACAAAGACGATATCAAGTATCTCCTGTTTGTATAATTACAGATAGGAGACATGATTGCCCAGGGTTTGGAGGGTAACGAGTACGTCACACTCCTCAGCTGGATCAATGTGTACAAGTAAGCGCCATTTTCTAATAATCTCCCCATTCCTCCTTCTGATTTTCTCCTCCTTGAATTCAGTAATGATAAATATAAAGTAACATGAAAAGGAAGCTCATAGTGAATAAAGGTGATATACTGCAGTTTATGAAATAACTGATAATCAAAATGAAATAACTGATAATCAAAATTAATCAAAATTAATCAAAATGAAATAACTGAAATAACTGATAATCAAAGTGAAATAACTGATAATCAATGAGTTGGTTTACTTGTACATGTTATTTAAACTGTCATGAATATCATTTCAGCTCTCCAGAACTGTTGAAGCATCCTGAACTCAACATTGACATCAAAGAGCTTGGTCCACTTTTGGAGCCTACAATTATAGACGACCTTCAGAACCAGTATGTACCACGGAATTATTTATCAACATATGTCCTTTGTTTCTTGTGGAACTGAAGAATAATTATGCACCACAAATCATATAGCAACACATCCCAAATGACCTCGAATGTAGCAAAATTAAATCCCAACAAATAGTACCAACTATGCTGTATTTCCAATATTAATACTTAAATACCACATTAAACAGTCTATGTACGAATCATTTTGTGTGGTACAGACTTGTCGGTAGGTAACAACACAGTCTATGTACGAATCATTTTGTGTGGTACAGACCTGTCGGTAGGTAACTACACAATCTATGTACAAATTATTTTGTGTGGTACAGACTTGTCGGTAGGTAACAACACAGTCTATGTACGAATCATTTTGTGTGGTACAGACTTGTCGGTAGGTAACTACACTGTCTATGTACAATCATTTTGTGTGGTACAGACTTCATTTTGTGTGGTACAGACTTGTCGGTAGGTAACTACACTGTCTATGTACAAATCATTTTGTTTGGTACAGACTTGTCAGGAGGTAACTACACAGTCTATGTACAAATCATTTTGTGTGGTACAGACTTGTCAGTAGGTAACTACACTGTCTATGTACAATCATTTTGTGTGGTACAGACCTGTCGGTAGGTAACTACACAGTCTATGTACAAATTATTTTGTGTGGTACAGACTTGTCGGGAGGTAACTACACAGTCTATGTACAAATCATTTTATGGGGTACAGACTTGTCGGTAGGTAACTACACAGTCTATGTACATGGTACAGACCTGTCGGTAGGTAACTACACAATCTATGTACAAATTATTTTGTGTGGTACAGACTTGTCGGGAGGTAACTACACAGTCTATGTACAAATCATTTTGTGTGGTACAGAATTTTGTGTGGTACAGACTTGTCAGTAGGTAACTACACAGTCTATGTACAATCATTTTGTGTCGTACAGACTTGTCGGTAGGTAACTACACTGTCTATGTACAATCATTTTGTGTGGTACAGACCTGTCGGTAGATAACTACACAGTCTATGTACAATTATTTTGTGTGGTACAGACTTGTCGGTAGGTAACTACGCAGTCTATGTACAAATCATTTTATGTGGTACAGACTTGTCGGTAGGTAACTACACATTCTATGTACAATCATTTTGTGTGGTACAGACTTCATTTTGTGTGGTACAGACTTGTCGGTAGGTAGCTACACAGGCTATGTACAATCATTTTGTGTGGTACAGACTTGTCGGTAGGTAGCTACACAGGCTATGTACAATCATTTTGTGTGGTACAGACTTGTCAGTAGGTAACTACACTGTCTATGTACAATCATTTTGTGTGGTACAGACCTGTTGGTAGGTAACTACACAATCTATGTACAAATTATTTTGTGTGGTACAGACTTGTCGGGAGGTAACTACACAGTCTATGTACAAATCATTTTATGGGGTACAGACTTGTCGGTAGGTAACTACACAGTCTATGTACAAATTATTTTGTGTGGTACAGACTTGTCGGGAGGTAACTACACAGTCTATGTACAAATCATTTTGTGTGGTACAGACTTGTCGGTAGGTAACTACACTGTCTATGTACAAATCATTTTGTTTGGTACACAGTCTATGTACAATCATTTTGTGTGGTAAAGACTTGTCGGTAGATAACTACACAGTCTATGTACGAATCATTTTGAGTGGTACAGACTTGTCGGTAGGTAACAACACAGTCTATGTACGAATCATTTTGTGTGGTACAGACTTGTCGGTAGGTAACTACACATTCTATGTACAATCATTTTGTGTGGTACAGACTTGTCGGTAGGTAACTACGCAGTCTATGTACAATCATTTTGTGTGGTACAGACCTGTCGGTAGGTAACTACACAGTCTATGTACAAATTATTTTGTGTGGTACAGACTTGTCGGGAGGTAACTACACAGTCTATGTACAAATCATTTTGTGTGGTACAGACTTGTCGGTAGGTAACTACACAGTCTATGTACAATCATTTTGTGTCGTACAGACTTGTCGGTAGGTAACTACACTGTCTATGTACAAATCATTTTGTTTGGTACAGACTTGTCAGTAGGTAACTACACAGTCTATGTACAAATCATTTTGTGTGGTACAGACTTGTCGGTAGGTAACTACACATTCTATGTACAATCATTTTGTGTGGTACAGACTTGTCAGTAGGGAACTACACAGTCTATGTACAAATCATTTTGTGTCGTACAGACTTGTCGGTAGGTAACTACACTGTCTATGTACAAATCATTTTGTTTGGTACAGACTTGTCAGGAGGTAACTACACAGTCTATGTACAAATCATTTTATGGGGTACAGACTTGTCGGTAGGTAACTACACAGTCTATGTACAAATTATTTTGTGTGGTACAGACTTGTCGGTAGGTAACTACACTGTCTATGTACAATCATTTTGTGTGGTACAGACTTGTCGGTAGATACCTACACAGTCTATGTACAATCATTTTGTGTGGTACAGACCTGTTGGTAGGTAACTACACAGTCTATGTACAAATCATTTTGTGTGGTACAGAATTTTGTGTGGTACAGACTTGTCAGTAGGTAACTACACTGTCTATGTACAATCATTTTGTGTGGTACAGACCTGTTGGTAGGTAACTACACAATCTATGTACAAATTATTTTGTGTGGTACAGACTTGTCGGGAGGTAACTACACAGTCTATGTACAAATCATTTTGTGTGGTACAGAATTTTGTGTGGTACAGACTTGTCAGTAGGTAACTACACTGTCTATGTACAATCATTTTGTGTGGTACAGACTTCATTTTGTGTGGTACAGACTTGTCGGTAGGTAACTACACTGTCTATGTACAAATCATTTTGTTTGGTACAGACTTGTCAGTAGGTAACTACACAGTCTATGTACAATCATTTTGTGTGGTACAGACTTGTCGGTAGGTAACTACACTGTCTATGTACAATCATTTTGTGTGGTACAGACTTGTCAGGAGGTAACTACACAGTCTATGTACAAATCATTTTGTGTCGTACAGACTTGTCGGTAGGTAACTACACTGTCTATGTACAATCATTTTGTGTGGTACAGACTTGTCAGTAGGTAACTACACTGTCTATGTACAATCATTTTGTGTGGTACAGACTTGTCAGTAGGTAACTACACTGTCTATGTACAATCATTTTGTGTGGTACAGACTTGTCGGTAGGTAACTACACAGTCTATGTATAATCATTTTGTGTGGTACAGACTTGTCGGTAGGTAATTATATATAACTACACAGTCTATGTACAATCATTTTGTGTGGTACAGACTTGTCGGTAGGTAACTACACAGTCTATGTACAATTATTTTGTGTGGTACAGACTTGTCGGTAGGTAACTACACAGTCTATGTATGAATCATTTTGTGTGGTACAGACTTGTCGGTAGGTAATTATATATAACTACACAGTCTATGTACAATCATTTTGTGTGGTACAGACTTGTCGGTAGGTAACTACACAGTCTATGTACAATCATTTTGTGTGGTACAGACTTGTCAGTAGGTAACTACACAGTCTATGATGATTTTTCAGTCCCTGTATCTAACTAGCTGACAATGTATAGTTTTAACCAAGAGATTTTGTTTTACACAATCAGGTACTTGAAGAACATGAGGTCAAATATAATGGACTGGACAAAGAACTCTCTGGTGCAAGATAAAAAGGTGAGAAGACCTGAAACAGAAGTTATTTTCATGTCGTGTACTGTAAGAATAAGAGCAGCCATGGAAATTGGTATCGGTTCTTGCTTTCATTTACTATATTATAGAGATAAGATAAGCCATGACAATCGGTAACAGATATGTGTCAAGTGTTTTTAGGAGCAGGATAAATGAAGTCATGAGCATTGGTCTGTTGAAGTGTGTTTGATGTGGTCAAGTGTGACTTTGTTTTTCCCCCGTCTTGAACTATTTTCACAACATTGTTATTTCACAATTTTTGTGGTAAGGTAGATTTGTAAATGCAATTAACAGTTAAAGATATCAATCACAACAGCATCAAATAAATTCGGTACTTGTTGACCAGTGTTACAGTGTTACAGGCTTCAGGACAAAATTACAATATTTCTCACCCCTTCCAGTCGAAGGGTAAAGGACCCCTGTATTCACTCAAACACAAACGAACGGGGTTGGCTCTATTCCATGCACCTTTCAAAACAACAGTGAACATCTTCATACTCCCCTTTTGATGCAGATTGTTTGGTATGTAATATCCACTATCATTTACTGTATACCTGGAAATTTTCGCCCAGAAAAACGTTCCCCCTCTGCCAGAATAATCCATATTCGCCCAGTTTTAAATTCACCCTTTTAATGACTTAGTATGATATGTTGTTAATTACTATTGGTTGCTGTAATGATAATTCACCTTCATTACTGGCTGAAATTAAACTGCAGTGAAAGTTTCTTGTTTGCATGTAATTTTTGAAGTTGATTATAGATATACACTGTATTAATAGTTTACATTATACTGGTACAGTAACAGGTCCAGACTGGTGCAAGTAGGTGTTAAATAATATACAACATTTATATAGTGCCCTATATAATTTGCTTTTAAGGTGCTTTACAACACATGAACAATATTCCTACAGTGTCAGTTAGTAAATATAGCAGATAAAAAGCCATACAAATCACCAATATACATCAGGTAACAAGATATTTATTTCTACATATATACAAATATTTCTACATGGTCTCTGCACAAAAGACTACGCAAACGTAAAAAGATGGGTCTTTATATCCTTCTTGAATTTAGCCAGAATTTCTGACTTCCTGTAGCAGATGGTAAGCTATTCCACAACATGGCCGAAACCCTTCAAAAGCACCAGCCTCGTAGGTCATAGGTCAGGTGTTGTTTGATTTGAGATGTATATTTTGTAGGACTGGTTCCGAGAAGAACATCCGGATGCTGACGGGGACGGCTTCTATTCCACGTCACTTCCTGTCATCTTATTCCAGATGATGGAACAGAATGTAAGTCACATTGAATTTTTATGATAAAAACGATATTTTATAACAGATTGATTTTGTACATATAGGATCCTTTTTGAGTTTCCTTTTCATACAAGAATAATGAAATATGTTTTAGAAATCTGTATTTTAAAAAGGTACCACCATTTTGAAACTTTAAAGAAAACTATGGGACAAGATTTTAGCCTACCATCATCAGATAGGGGCTAACCCCCTGTTGTTCACCCATGTCTGTCTGTTGTCATCCCTTAAATGGTATTTGCTATTGCTTTTTCTCAAAGAGTACCAGACCAATCTTTTTCAAAAGATATATATATGCTAATAAATGATCTTGGACACTATTTCTATCAACTCATATTCAGTTTCCAAGTTGAGTGATACAGGCCCTTCAGGACTCTTGTCTCTTTTCAGCTCCAAGTTGCACAGATGATTGGCGAAGATCTGGTGAAAAAGGTGTTAGAATTGTTTGCAGATGAGTTGAACATGTTTGCCAAGGAATACCAAAGTGAGAGTCACATGTTCAACCCAATAATAGCGTACCTTTATACAGCTGTGCTCAGTCCACTTTTGTTTCTGATATAGAGTTGCATGTCTAAAAATAGCCTAAAGCATTGATAGACCCAACTGGTTCTCAAATTCCTTGCTATCTTTGATTATTTGTCGATAAAAAATAATTTACCGACAATTATGAAGACTGGACATTTTTCTAGAAATGTAACATTATTTCTAACGATGTGCAAGTCAGATATTGCATTGCCAATGTATTAACATATGAGATAATTACTAAAAGCTCATCTAGGTTTGTATCATTTTGTCGTAGTTATCATTTAATACCATAAATCGTTTCCTTGATGATTTCTAAGATAGTTAGTTGAATACTCAGACAATTAAAAGTTTTTTCTCAATACATCCATAAAATGTTTTTTTTTAATATGAGGCATAAAGTTGAAGTGCAAAACTTTACCAGACAACATCCTATGTTAAAAAGTGATTCATTTATGGACTCAACTTTTCTCAAATTCCTTGCTGTCTTGATCATTTATCACTAACAAATCATATAATATAGATAATCATATAATAATGTTGGATTTTTTAACTGAAGATTGTAAATGATCTTTGTGATAATTATTTTTGTGTAAATTGATCATAATGAAAAGAACTGTTTATGCAAAGTACAAGGCACATCTGCTGAAGCATAAATTACAGCAATATCAAGTCTAAGAATTAGTGTGCACAAGCTTGGAATTATGTAGAATAGTTTAGAAGAGAACCCTTTGTTGGATTCTGTAATAATGTTTTCATATTTTTTTGGAGAAAATACTATAGTGAATCAAGATTACACGACATGTCTCCATCAAATATATATACTGTACACCAGGAAACTCTCGGCCAGTCAAATATATATACTGTACACTAGGAAACTCTCGGCCAGTCAAATATATATACTGTACACCAGGAAACTCTCGGCCAGTCAAATATATATACTGTACACTAGGAAACTCTCGGCCAGTCAAATATATATACTGTACACTAGGAAACTCTCGGCCAGTCAAATATATATACTGTACACTAGGAAACTCTCGGCCAGTCAAATATATATACTGTACACTAGGAAACTCTCGGCCAGTCAAATATATATACTGTACACTAGGAAACTCTCGGCCAGTCAAATATATATACTGTACACTAGGAAACTCTCGGCCAGTCAAATATATATACTGTACACTAGGAAACTCTCGGCCAGTCAAATATATATACTGTACACTAGGAAACTCTCGGCCAGTCAAATATATATACTGTACACTAGGAAACTCTCGGCCAGTCAAATATATATACTGTACACTAGGAAACTCTCGGCCAGTCAAATATATATATTGTACACCAGGAAACTCTCGGCCAGTCAAATATTTACCCTTCACTGTTAAATCTACATTTGCCAAGTGTAAATTGCGCACTTCACATGTTCACCCTTATTGGGGAGGGCGAAAAAGGTGGAAATTTAACTGCAGCAAAGAATTCCTAGTATACAGTATACCAATCTTTCCACCATAAAGACAACAAAGAAAATTAATGACCACGTTTAATGAAAGTGACAATTTTGTCCAGAATGTGTCTTTCAAACTCAAAAAAAAAAAGATTCAAAACACGACACAAATTGTTTGTTGGACATTTATATAATTCTGTACGTTATTTTTAGGTGAGATCCAAAGCTACCAGGAGAGACACATGATGAACAGAAGTGAACCCAAGTTTTACATTCATTACCTGGTGAGAGTCCTATTATAGATGTTCGTTTTTATCAGCCTCTGCTGTGAAGGGGTGCCATTGCTTTATTTCAGTAAACACAATTAAACAACTTCAATGCATAAAATGGGCTGCTGTGGTCGATAGGTTAAGGCGTCTGACATTCTGCTACCACTAGCCTCCACCACTGGGTCACGGGTTTGGGACCTACGTGGGGCAGTCGCCAGGTACTGGCCATAGGTCGGTGGTTTTTCTCCAGGAACTCTGGCTTTCCTCCACCCCAAAAACCTGACACATCCCTAAATGACCATTGCTGTTAATAGGATGTAAAACACAAATAAACCAATCCAATCAATGCATAAATGAAAAAGACTACAAAATATATTTTGCTATTTGTATCTTCTGGCAAAGAAAGAAAGATAGACTTGTATTCTGCTTTTACTTTGCTGTAGATTGCAAATATCAACAACACCATTGCTTTCTGTGACTACATGAAACAGTTAAGAAAGCGTTACATGAAGGAGGAATTTGATGACCGACTGGAGGAAGATGAGGACAATATCAGGAAAGATAGATTTCAATTGCTAACAGACAGATTCAAACAAATTGGGAACCTTGGGTAAGTCTCAGTTATGATGTCCTTTTAGAATTGTAAGAAATTAAACTGTATGGAGAAATCTGTATTGACTACAGCGGATATGATTTTCTGGATGAGCTCCCATCCTTACTGAACATATTAGCTGCACCACCTTTTTTGGGTGTCATCTACAGCAATATTTCTTGCCAGGAAATTTTCTTCTATCTATGTTTCTAACATCAGATACCAACTGTTTTCGTGTTGGTTGTGTTTACTATATCGGGCACCAAACTAATATCTTGAAACATTTGAAAGCTCGCTAAATTTTTAAATTGTGTATCATTCATTTTCTGCTTTTTGAGATAAATTGCCAAATATTACCATCACCAAAAATATTTGCAAGTGGTATGTTAAGGGTAAAATGAAACATTTTAATTACAGGTGTAACATACTCCTAGACGAGGTTTGGATTGACCTGCGGAACAGTAAATGTATTGATGAACTCCTCACTAAAAGTTGGTAAGTGACTGCCGAAGTCCTGATTCCCTTTGGTAAAAAATAGTTTTTCCTAAAAGTTTTATTTTGGCTTAAAATATTCAATTTTTATTGCAATGACAAAATCTTTATGTGAGTTTGTTATACTGCTCCAATGGGTACCTGGGAAACTTGTTAATCCAGGCAGTATTAATTGTAAGACATACATATCTCTAATCCATGGATTCTGACACTGACCAACTTTTCACCAGACCAATACAAAATCATTTAACATTTTCATGATAAAATAAAAAGCATTAATTTTGTTTTTAATTAGCAGACAACTTGAAGTCCTTTTTGATATTCATTGCATTCAGCCCTAAAAAAGTAGGTTTTATTGTTAATCTAAATGAGGGTTTCAGCATTGTGTCTGTAAGAATTCGTACAACTAAATCATTTAGTATATGTTATTACTAAGCTTTTGAGCTAATAGCGTTAATATTGAAGTTCAATACTAGTGACAACTGTCTTGAGTCATACATAGATACATACCTGACAAAGGCTTCTAAAGGTATTTTTGACAGGTTAAATCAGCTTAAATGGCAAATTAGAGTGCTACAGGCATTACTAAGGGGCACTGTATTTAACCAGAACAATTTTGAGGCAGGGATTACAATTATCATATGAAACACTTGCTGATTGGCTGATTAAGTTGTGTGAGTCAGAGCTGTGTTTGCTGATTGGCTGATTAAGTTGTGTGAGTCAGAGCTGTGTTTATGTTTTAGGTGTCAGGGATCCCACTCTGTAGACATAATCTATGCCACCTGGGCCGACTACAGCGGAGACTTTGTTCACCTCAAAGAGCCATTCAGTGTCGGACTCGTCGTAGAGGCACGTCACAGACTGCTAAAGGAGTACGTCAAAGCCATACTCTCCAAGTAAGTGACTTTTGATGAAGAAGCATCTAAAGCAAGATGAGGAATGTTTGTTGTTATTCTGAATTTTGCTGGTTCTTGTTTTTAGTTTGTCTTGGATATTACTTTTTAATTAATATATCCTGAATTTGAATATCATTGGGAAATCCATTGTATAGGGGAAATTATATTCTCTTACCTTTTCAATAATAGATTTGTTATTGCTTTATATTTACATTTGCACTGCAACCCACTATATGAACATTACCAGCAGAAATGCATTTCCTAGCGCACTTCATGCAATATGGATGTAACCGATT